ACATTATTTCTATGTACAAAATTATGTTCTTATATTTATTTTTGGAGTGCAATAAATGTTTCTACATCTATGAAGATATAGTAGAAAATCATCTCAAGAGAAGCGCCACAATAACGAGGCCACGGCTACGTTATTTTTCTTCTAAATGAATTATTTTAATTCAAAAACGAAAATTTGAAATTGGGTACATGTTTGAAACAAAGTCTATTGGAGTTCTGCTAGAGATAGGTGGCTAACAAGGTGGAATAGGCGGTTAACTATTGATAGTCACCGAGGAAAAGGTTAGGCGGCTAAACTCCGAAAGTAGGAGGCTTTAAGTGTGCAGTTTTTTTCTACAATAAGGCTACATGCCAACCTCCAAGCTTTCTTCAACAAGTCTACAAATGTGGAAGAGGGCAAGAGAGATGTTTCCCTATTCCAAGATTCTCTCATCCTACAAAAATTCCGGCCATTGAAGTTATTTCCCCCCCCCCCCCCCCCCTCCTTTCTTCCTTGCTCAAGCTTGCCCTACTCTTAGACTCTAGCCATATTGATTCCTTTCTCTTCGTTGGAGCTCTAAACTTCCCTTTACTCCTCTTTTATATTCAACTCTTCTTTCATTCTCTTTGCAGCCTAGGGTCTTTGCACAAATTAAGAAGCTTGGAGAACTCAACACGTTAGTTGTCATCCTTTTTTCCAATCCAATTTTGTACAAATATCTTCTCCAGCCAGTGATTGAGCTGAAAATGATAAATCAAAATGGCCCTTCCCAGTTGGTGCCTCTGCAATTGGTTTAACATTTTGGGCACATAAGCCAACCCATCACTAGAACTTTCTTAACATACATGACTTCTACAGTCTCAGACGCAATGTGGGCTCTTTAAGGAGGCCAATTATTACTTTGGAGACTTGTAAATCTATGTGTTGTTTTTATTATTTTGGTGTCAAGTGAAAGATCAAAGGAAGATAAAAAAGATAGTGAATAATCTTTTTGTTCTTTGTAGAAGAAGAAAATCTTGTAATCCTCTCCTTGTAATCCTACTCTTTGAAGTAGAAAAACTTGTCTGGACATTACAAGTGATCCTGTAGCTTCCCGTTTTGAATTTTCAGGTAAATCTCTTGTCAAAAGGTCCAAATACTTACCTTCCCGAGGACTGTGAACCAGGTCCGAAAGAAGCATTCATTTACAGGGGTGCATGTCAAGGGTTGTCCTATTGCTAACTTATTGGATCATGTTGCTTTCTATTGATCATAAAGGAGTAAGGAAGTGAATTGTAGTATGAAAATAAATTTAAAATTATTTTACCTCTTTTCTTCTCTAAATATTTAAAGCGTGCATATATTAAAAATTTTAAAAATAAATATAAAGGAAAAAAAAGAGTTTTTAAAATTCGTACCACGGCCGGTAGACCTCGTGAAAATCTAACGGCACGTAATTCGAGTGCAGAAATGACTCATCCAGGGTCTCATCTACTTGGGAAGGGATCTCACCCACTAACACCAAAAAGTCGCCGGCCATATTGCATTAGAATAATCACCAAGCCAGAGAGAGAGTTGGACGGTTTGGGGTATCCGAATTCGGCTTTTAAATAATGCTTGGAAAATTTTTAAAAACTTTTGGAATCTTTAAAATAAGTTTTCTAAAAAAATTACCTGAAAGTATTCTAACAAATTTTTAGATGGCTTCTTGTTTTTATTATTTTTAATTTTTTCTTATTAATAATTTGGATATATCCTTCCACTACAAATGATAATAATTAGATATTTTAAGAAATAATTAAAATATCATCATCTTAATACCAAAGCTAGTTCTATACCTATTGCACCTCAAAAGACAAAATGTAATGTTTTAAAAACTGAACTGATAATAGAACTAGTGACCTTACTGGTTATAGATTCAGCCAATTGAACTAGTCGAATCATTGATTCAACCGGTGTGACGTCATAAATATATTTAATATAAATATATATTTATATATAATATAAATAATGTATAAAATATAAAAATATAAAAAAATAAGAATATAAATTTCAAAAACTAACAATTCCAATACTAAAAAAAATTTAAAATTGAAAAAAAATATAATAAAGCCAAATCCTGTTAATGCAAATATAAGTAAATAAATTTTCTAAGAATTTAAATGAATACGGCTAAAATTTTAGAGTTTATAGAAAAAGATTTAAATGAAAAATTTAAAATTTGGTGATTGATATAAAAATTTCAAATATTAAGAATTAAATTAAAAAAATTAAAGTATTATAATTTAATTTATACATTTAGATTATTCTTTCGCACTCGGATTATTCTTTGACGAGAAACAACTCAAATGTCTACCTTTTTAAATTATTTTTTCTGTGGCTTAAAATTAACAAATAACAAACTCCCTGAAAATTAATTAATAATTTCCCTCACACCTTATTCATGTAACCCTTCTTCATATATGTTATTCTTTTTTCTTTTTTTCCTATTATCTCTCTGGGTTTCTCTCATGCATTTTTTTTGTTTGTTTCTTCTTTTTTCTTTTTCTTTTCCTATTCTCTCTCTGGTGTTATGTTTCTTCTTTTTTCTTTTTCTTTTTCCATTCTTTCTTTGGGTGTCTCATCTGCGTTTTTTTTCTTGGTTTCTTCTTCTCTTTTTCTTTTCCATTTCTCTCTCCGGGTTTTTCATCATTGAGCTGTTGTTGCAGATTTTCACTTCTTCTCTCTTCCTACCTTCTTGTTCCCCTTCACTCTTCAAATCCATCAACTGGTTTCCTACAGATTTTCACAAGTACTAAAGCTGTTCGACTATTATTGGTTTGAGCACAGCTTCTTCTTCTTCACAGCAAGTAAAGCTCCTCAAATCCAACTAAAAGCCCATGTTTGAAATTATATGAATAGCTTGTAGCGAGGGAGCCAAAAAAAAAAAAGAAAAAAAAAAAAAATCGGTCAAAACCAGTAAATTGATTTTTTCGATTTTTTTGATTTGGACTAATTCTTACCGGTTCAAATACCAAACAATATTTTTAAGCCAACCCACCCGGAATGACTGTCGATTTTCGGTTGAACCGGCGGTCCAGTCTAGTTTTAACAACACTGACAAAATGACTGAAGAGCAAAATATTATATCAAAAAAAAAGAAATTAATTCCAAGTAATTACAATGAGAACCTATTAGACTAACGATCGGACCGATTGAAAAACCAGTACGACAGGTTCCTGGTCCAGCTTAGACTCCTGATGACCCCTAGAGAGATGTGCCTGCAAAAGGAACTTTTTGCCCGTTCATCTCGGAAGGGAGTGACCACCATCACATGTTGGTGCAGAATATTCTGGAGCCACCTAGCCGACGCTGTCAAGGTCCTGTTTGTTTGATTGTTTATTCTTTTGTTTTTTTCTGTTCTTTTTTAAGAGGAAGATCACAAGACCACAAAAGAGACTTTTAGCCGGCGGTGGACCTGGCCAGTTGTGATAAGCCCAAGAGTTTTTCCCGATAAGCAACATATATTTTTTATTCTATTTTTTTATTGTTACGGAATCCGTGTACTTCTTTGTCAATTCGTATGGCGAATAAAACTACTTTTGCCACGCCAATATTGCACCATGTCCTTGTCATCTTCCGGTTCGGCTCATTAAAATATACCAACGCATCGTCTTTGCCCCACACTAAAACAAAAAATTGAATGTTTGCATCTGTATGTAATTATGTTCATTAAATCCAGAAAAAATTAACTCAGCCATGGAATCCAATGGTAGGTCCCTCTTAAACTAAAAATTTTAAAGATAGAAAATTGCTACTGCCTTCTTAAATAAGAAACCAAACACTAAAAACTTAATCAAACATGTTTATTGGGTTTTTCTTTTGATCAAAACACGGCCATGGTACAATCTTTAAGATGCACAAATCTTGTATGCCACCCTCTTATATTTCGTATTTCGCAGTCGAATATATCGAAGCCATAAAATGAGAGTGAAAGGAGAAAGCAAAACGATGCCAAGAGGATAATAAGTGATATATTAAGCTTAGAAAATTTGGAGATAGACTTGATACAGATACAGAATTTGCAACTATAAACAGGCATCTGCATTCTCGTGCTGCATCTCTCTCCATGTTAGCTCCAGGAGCCTGTGGGTTTCGAGGTAGGCCAAAATCATGCAATTCATTAAGCTGCAAAAAATTAAAGTCTTGGGTCAATCATTATTATTTTTCTTTTAACAAAAATATTTAAAACAACTAAAGGCAACTTATGGTAATCATAAAATGTGGATTCAATATAATAAATTTGAATCTAAGATTAAATACTTAGTAATCTTCATTTAAAAATCAGAGATTGAACCTTTTCTCAAAATATTTTTAATATTTTTAATTTTTTATAATTAAACTGCTAGTCCTCTTCTTCTCTCAAGTTTAGATATTCAATATATAAATAAATAAATAAATTTCCATAGCTTTGCTTATTCTTTTTAACTAATGCCTCCAGCCTAGCAGCAAGATGGACATGCTGATGTGATGAATCCCATATATGGTCCTCATCAAACATATATATATATATATATATATATATGAGAAGGGGTTTTTTTTTTTGGGGGGGGGGGGGGGGGGGGGGGGGGGGAGCATAATATTGTGATGTGATAACCAATTTTTCAGTACAAATTCAAAATGGAAGTGTGGATCTCCGTGAAAGAAATTTCAAATGTGACCAAGTCCACTGCCGCCTGCCATGGGTTTCTAGATCGTCAAATTTTAAAAAGGCGAAGAACTTAGGTGGCAAATAAGAAAGTCCCGCACTATTTGCATTCTCATCATCCCAATTTCTCTGATCTCAGTACTTGCCTAGATTGATTGGAATAAAGTGTCTCACTTGAAACATGAAAAATGGGAAAAAGATATTTTTAAAAAAAATCCCATCCTGCCATATTTTCTTGCCTCCCAATCATCTTTAAGCAGAAAACTTCTCATAATTATTTTCGGAAGTAACCCATGCCAGATTTCTCAAAGGAATAAAAATGAATAATTCAATTGATTTTACAAAGAAACTAACCTCAATCAGAAGAGAACACCTTAGTCTCCAACTGGTAGGCCTTGGTGAAGAAAGCAGGCCAGCAGAGATAGGTTGACATGATGCTGCTAACTGTTGAGGCCCCCAGCAGCATGTTCATCACCACAATCTGCAGTTGAATCGCCTCCAGAGGAGAAGCCCCTCCCATTATAAGCCCAGTCATCGCCCCGGGAAGCGATATGAGGCCCACGGTTTTGGCATTGTCCACCACGGGAGACAGGGCGATCACCAGAGCCCTCTTCACCTGCTGGATCGTCGCTTGACGGGGAGTCGCCCCTAAAGCCAGTGCTGTCTCTACCTGAAGAAAGAAAAATCGCAAATTCATTCAAGCTGCTGAGAAATTGCAATTTTAGCGTTAGGACCTTAAAGATGGACAAAACATGGTCCACTGATCAAGCTTTTCTCAGCCATATGGATTGGCTAATGGAATCCTAGGAATTGGTGACGGTCATTTTAGCATTCACACAGGATATGTATAGCATTTTTGCAAGATATATGCACATGCCGTGGATGACACAAGCTGAAATAATTAAGTTTGTGTAGTTTGTGTGGGGATCTGGCTATAGTCACCAGGTTCATTTGGATCTTGATATCATCCCGGAGTCTTTTCATGGTGACTCCGGTGACGGTCATGGCATTTCCCACCATCATGCCTGCGACGGGGATGATGTAGCGAGGGGTGAATGGGAAAACGTTGAGCACAACTAGAAGGAGCATGGTCACTGCTGTTCCGGCGAGAATGGAAGCTCCGGCGACATACTTCCCACGTGGGACGTGTTTGGCACGTTGACCTGCCGTATAACCCGCCACACAAACCTGCAGGGGAAAATTAGGAACAGGATTTAATGTCTGCCAGGAATCACAAATTGAAACAACGAATCAAATAGGAAAATCAAGGTTTATTTGACCATGAACCAAAGAGGCCCTAGCATCTCTATGAAAGATCCAATTAAGCAGAACTCGGGTAAATACAGAGAACCCTGATTTCTTGGAAACTGAACATATAAAAAAATAAAGCAAGAATCCAGAAGGATAAAGGTAAAAATTCCTTCTCCCACCGCCGAGAAAAGCCAGAAAATATAAGAGCATCCTGATCGCATTTTCTAGGGTGGAGAAATTCCAAACCTCCAAGTCCGATTAATCACGCACAAACAGAACACAAGACATGAGATTAAAGAATTTTCTTCTCTATCTTCCCAGCAGCTATGAAATTTGGGAGCAACCGAAGGGGAGATGAAGAGAGCATATATACCATGAACAGATAAGCGAGGAGAATCCAGGCAGAGTTCTCCTGAGAGAAAATGAACTGCAGGACAAAACCGATAATGGAAAGCTGAAGAAAGGCCCTGAAAATGGAGTAGATCATCTCTCCCTCCAAGCCCAGCCTCTGCAAGTAGGACATGACTATTGCCATGAGCACCACCACCAGGGCCAGCGCCGGTTTCACCATCCCCTGACAGAAGTCCCACAGCCACCCCATCTCCATAGCTTAAAATCAAATCACTTCACCCCTATATACGTGTAATAATATAGATATATATATATATTACACTATGCAATTATATTATATTATGAATATTAGAGAGAGAGAGAGAGAGAGAGCTGTGTCTCTCCGTGGCATAAAATGGCTTATGGGGGCAGTGAGGTGTGGCAGAGGAATGAGTGAATGAAGGTGTTGGACCTAAATACTAAGTAGAGATATTATATATAATTATGGAGAGAGAGAGAGAGAGAAAAGACCTTCCCCTGGTGGGGGTGGTGGGAGGGCGTAGAGTAGCCAACTAGTGGAGCTTCTTGCGACGGGAATGAATGGTGTCGGAAATAAGTGATTGGTATTTTAATTATATTATTAAACTTATTAATAAAATTTCCGTGTAAATTACACAAATTCTTGTAAAGATAAAATATCAAGTATAGTTATCGTATGCACAACTTGGAAGATTGGATTTCCTATATTCCGTATTTGAAATGTAGGAAAATGAGCACAATTTATTTTAAAAATATATTATAATATAAAAATATCGCTGCAAAAAAACAAAATGAGTAATCAATTATTGAATAAGGCAATGAAAAAGGTCAATGGCAGAAAGTGAAAGGGAGATGTGTACGATCGCATACGAAAAATGGTTGAGAGCGATGCTCTGGTACGCGTGCGAGTACGGTGGGCCATACTTCCACGCAAATGTCTGATTAAATCAAAGAATTAAAGACTTGAGAGGACATTGTGTCTAGCGTCAACCTGGTTCTCAATGTGTTATTATGCGAAGGAGAAAAATCAACCAACATTATATTTTATCACGAAAGAAACCCTGGAAAAAAGTAATTTACAAGAAAAAACCACAGGAATTTAACCTTATTCACTCAATAAAAAAGGGTTAACCTCTCTCATTACGTTTGGCTTCAGCTCTTGGAGCTCTTTCTTCTTCCTCTCTTTTTCTAAACCTCTTCAGCACTTCCTTTCTTATTAATGCAATTTTTCTAATGGAAATTAAAATTTAAACAAACATAATATAGTATACAAAAAGCATGTAAAAAATGAAAATTTTTAAATGAAAAAATTTATTGAGGATGTGAGTTAATATTACATTAATAAAATATCTAGATTAAATGAAAATTGATACTTTGGGAGCATCATAAAAAAATTATGTTTTCTACTTATAATAATTTGCTATAATATAATGTTAAATGATAATATCCAAATTCAATTGAACAAAAAAATAATTTCTCATTACATGTAATTGTTATGTGATCTCCATAAACTGAAAGCAAATTATATGAATAATTTTTCAAGAAAATCTATTCATTGAAATAATCGTCTTATTTACTCTACCTTGAATAGATAAAATTTGAAATTGAATTTTCCTTAAATAGATGAAAGAAAAAAATTATTCTATTAGTTAATTATTTCAAATAATCACAAATTTTTAAAATTAATTTTATTAATTAATTCTATTGATTTCGATTTTGTTGGCAATCCCTACTATACTAATTTAAAAATAAAAGTTAAAAGCATAATTGTATTAGGAATAGTATTTGCTACCATTAACTCCTTCCGTCCAAAGGTATTAATCTCACTGGTGTGTTTATTATAATGTACAGATGGCAATAAAATAAAGCTGGTAACAATAGTTGGCTGCAGCCAAAGTTTTCGCTTTCCTATCTCTATCTGTGTGCTCATAATAATGAGAAAAATCTCGATTAGAGATGGTTGAGAATAATTAACTTACAATGACTTCATCCATTGGCTTTTTTATTATTATTATTGTTAAATCAAGGTGTAATGCCTCAGTTTAGAGGTCAATTAACAACATTAAAATTTTAAGGACCAAATTGAAAGAAATAGAAAGTTTAGAAATCTAATTAAAAAAGTTAAAAGACACAATTGAATGAATTTAAAAATTTCTGGGCTCAGATGAGAATAATCGAAAAATATCAAGGACCAAAAGGAGAAGAAGGGAAGCAAGGACTAAATTGAAAAATTCCAAAATTGGGATCCAATCTTCATCCCTTTCCTTTCAAAAAACTAATCACACAATCTGGTTTGATTAGAGCAATCGCTCTGTCAATCTTCAATATAATTGAGTACAAGCCATTTCGATCCAAAGCCCTACATTAATTTTATCTAATACCCTCAAAATCACCATCGAAAGCTAATTACAGGATCATGATAGCCACGAAGGTTCTACTATCAAAGTTCTAGATTTTAGTCACCTCTGATCATTGTGCCACCATCTAGTGGGCCATTGCGAGTCATTGATACTTGTGTTACAAGCCATTGAAGTGTTGTCAGGTATATTGACTGAATTTTAGGGTTAATTTCTAGTTTTAGGATTTTGGGCGAAGAAGAAGATTTGATTGGTAAAATTGGTTCTGAACTAGGTCTAGTTTTCTTAACCAGATCTAGGCCACGAGTTAGTCTGATGAACTAGGTTTTGGATTGGGCTTGGCCGGATGGGACATTGGGCTTTGGTTACTGGATTGGTTTTGGGCTAGATTTTGGACCGAGTTGGGTTAACTACATTTAGGCTATTAGAATTGGATTTGGATCTAGGATCGGACACAGTAAGCCAATTTAATAGATTAACAACCTATTCAATACTAGTTTGGAGTTAAATTAATCGGTTCAATGTCTACACTGACCGGTTTAATACTTTATTCATTGTTTTAGTACCTTGTTTGATCGTTCGATGCCTATATGGATTGATTCAGCTTTTTAATAACCGATTCTATGATTAAAGTGATTGGTTCAATGTTTTATTGACTGCTTTAGTGTTATTTTAACCCAATTTAGTGTCCTCTTAGTCGATTCAGGCCTTTACCAAACCGTTCATAGATTATTAACTTGATTCAAGGCATTAGATAGTCAGTTCAGTTCTTTACTTACTGGTACAAAGTGTAATTAGATTGGTTCAAGGCATTTAAGGTTTGGTTCAACACTGTAATACCAGATTTATGACCGGTTTAATATTGTAATGGCTAGTTTAGAGCCAATTTAGCACTGAAATGGCCAATTTATGGCTAGTTTAGCATTGTAATGGCCGATTCATAATTGGTTTCAGCACTCTAGTGATCAATTCAAGGTCGTTTAGTACTTTAGTGGATGTTTTCACTACAAAAAAAGATGTATATTATGGCGGTTAATTTTGCAAAAATGGCAGTTTCTAACCGCCGCTTTTTGCGCATACAGCGATTTCAGAAACTGTCGAAATCACGTCCGCCATTCGGTATAATATGGCAGTTACAGGCTAACTATTGTGTCAACCGCTGTAATTTACTAAAAATTACGGCGGTTCAAACTGCCGTAATTTACAATTAATTTTTCTTTATATATTATGGTGGTTTTGAGTGTAAATTACGGGGTTCAAAACTGCCATAATTTATAATTAATTTTTTTCTTTGTATATTACGGTGGTTTTGAGCATAAATTACGGCAGTTCAAAACTGCCATAAATTTAGAATTAATTTTTCTTTGTATATTCCGTAGTTTTAAAGTGTAAAATACGAGTTTTTAAGTGTAAATTACGGTGGTTCAAAATCGCCATAATTTATAGTTATTTTTTTTTATATATTATGGTAATTTTGAGCAAAAGTTACGATAGTTAACTGCTATAATTTACAATTAATTTTTTTGTATATTATGGCAGTTTTCAGACATAAATTACGGCATTTTGTTTTTAATTACAACAATTTTTTGTAATATAAATAACAATAATTTTTTATATAAATTATGACAATTTTAACTGTAAAATTAACTGCTTAAGGTAAATTACAACTTTTATTTTTGGCTCTTTTATTGCAATTTTTTGTTGGTTCGAAATTGCTGCTTTTGAACCACAATTTTTTTTCCATTTTCTAAACCACCTTTTTTTAACTACTTTTTTTTTTTTTAATTTCATCTATCTTATTCTTAATAATCTCTTACCATGAAAAAATTTTATAAAAAAAAAAGATGAAAGTGCTGTAGTAAAATAGACAAAAAACTAGAATACAACCAAATATTTCCAATAAATATGTTGAGTTATGTATGTGTTCTCATATACTTTTGACAAAAGAAATCACAAGGTCATACATGTAATAAGATGTAATTGTAACATAAATATTCCAATTTGCCAAGCAAGAATTGCAAACTACAAAAAGATCTAAATTATACAAATGAGCTGCCAAGAGAGTCTCCTTCAATGAGATCAAACTGCCAGATGGTACATAGTGTGTTTCAAACCCTACATATAAAGACCTGCAAGAACTTAAATTACTTAATACACAAACATATATACTTTGTAGAGCATAAATTTGAGGCTTTGTTCTCTAGCAATGCAAATAGCAAGCTACATCCATCTCTCACAAGTAATAATGCAGAACTTAATGAAAAAAGAGAAAGAATAAAATGTTTACCCAATCAATTCCCAATTCCCTAGATAAAAATTTTAGATTTTTCCCATTAAGTAGCAATTAAATTATACCATAAGGTTGAACAACCTAACCTCCTACCAATGCCTTGTCCCTCATTGCTTCCACAGTGCAGCTTATTTTTTTTTTTTAAAAAAACTACACGATATGTAAAATAAATTGAATAAATAGATATTTATTTTTTTTCAAATTTCCCTAAGCTATTTATTTAAACCCACTTTTCCCAAGCCTATTTTATCAAACCTACTTTCACCAAACTCACTACTACTAAAATTGCTATCAAATGAGGCAAAAGTGTTTTAGCTTCAACTAATGAGAAGATACGTTATCAGTTGCTAGGATATTAAGATTTCAAGATACAAATGATTAGGACCTTAATAACAATAATTTGAAGTTTGCAGAATAGGGCATTTAACAGCCACAAATTAAAAATTAAAATTAACATCGCATTGATATGAATCTATAGTTAACAAAAAAAATTATAAGTATTTACCTCTTCCAACTGTGGCAAGACCTTTCCATTAGAGAACAAATCAATTGCAA